GGGTTGGTGGCCTCCCTCCTCTCTCTCTCTCTCTAGATAGGGTGTTAAACCCTCACAACTCTCAAGCAACTCTAAAATGACTAAAACTGGCACAAGTAGCCAGTAAAACTATATAAAAAAATGAAATTACTGCTTCTTTTATTGTAGCAGCTTGGAACAGCTCGTTCAATCGAGTCTGGACTAGTCATACCGACCAGTCCACCTGGTCATATGGCGGCCCAAACGGTCCAACCAGCCGATTCAGTCTCTTGTTCATTCAGTGCAGTGAATAAACTTGCAATTGCATGCAAATACAGAATTCAGCCAATGGACGGGTTACTGAAGGTCTCCAATTCGAGACATAACAGAAATTGCCCGCATGCTAGGAAGGCCATTACCGAAAGAGGAAAGATTTCTGAAAACATATAAAATTTCAGGCCAAAATATAGGAATAGAATCAGGTTTTGGAAGGGCTAGACACTTTAGGGACCAAGTACCTAAGTTAGTCAAAAATAGCAACAAGCCTGATATTCTAGTGGCAAACATGGTGGCATTATTGGACGGGAAAGGATCTAGACCCAAACTTTTCGTCGTATCCTGAATGATGCCGAAGTTGAAGAACTCCAATCATTACTGTGCTATCAATGGACAACGTTATCTACCACTTTGAGGGCATGAAAAATTAGTATGAGCCTCTACAAATGCAGGTACCTTTTCAGCCCGTTCCTTTTATATGCAGCCACCAAAACCCAAACTCTTCACCTGTCATTGCTAACAAGGCCTGGTCCATACCAGCACCACATAAGGTCCAGATCTTTATATAGTTGGTGGGCGGGGACAAGGTCCTGAAAGCAGACGAGCTACAACATGGGAGGATCAAATCCCAAACTGATGTATATTGTGTCTGGATTAACAAGAGGAGACTACCAAACATCTCTTCCCATATTGCAAAACCTCTATCCAATATGGTTATATTTTATGAGGAAATTCAATATACCCTAGACAACACCACAATAAGTTGGCATCCTTCTAAAGCATTGGATGTCTCCCCTTTTACTAGAGGCAGGCCAGGTGCTTTGGTCCACTTGGCTGTAGCCAAATCAGCGAATACTTCGAAGTACCAGCATCCAGAATCATCAAAGTCCAGGAATGCAAAAAAATCTTCAATTAGCTTTTAGGCATAAAAGCTGCAGGGGTACCGAACCATTGACTTTGCAAAATATCCCATTCAGGTTTCCAAAATGAAGGCAGATCAAGATCATCAAATGCAGGATGCAGACTCGATGAGCTCGGGGATCCAATGTGTCACATGGCTCAATGTGATTTATATGATAGAAGGATTTTAATTTAGTATTTGCCTCTAACATACCCGTTGTCTAAGTCGTTAATAGCCTGATAAGGAATAACACAGTTTGTTGTCTGTATTATCCAACAGTCTAATGCATTTAACATGCAAAATAAATTAATCCATCCCATACAGTAAATTAAATAAAACATAAAAAAATATTTAATATACTAACTGACCAAGAAAGCACTTAAAAATATGTTGACATCCCCAAAATTTGGGTTAGCCTTAGACATCTGCCACACCACCTCACCCAAGGTCTTGCACCAAGGGTCTTTAGCCAATAGACCACAAGTGCGTGCACCATGCACCAATTCTGCACCATCTTAACATCTCACATGGTCAAGGCTGAGGGGCATCTCCCTCATATATGATTGTCAGTCTAAAGAGCTGGCTTGCTAGGAGAGATAGCTAACCCCACAAAAGCGGCACAAGTCGATCACTTAGGACTTGCAGATCACCCAAGGGGAACCGCATGCGCACTTAACCTGAACATGTGACACTAAGGGAGAGGGCTTGACAAGCCTCCCCCACCTCAACTCTGACATCCTCATCAAACGTTTGTCCTACACCGGTTCCCCATAAACCACGGTTTTGGCCCAAGCCTGTCGCTAAGTCCTTCTCGTACTTAGCCATCAAGTCTCTACGCATTCCCTTGGTCAGGTCCACAATTGCCACTAAGCCCACGCACACACTCAGATCCTCGAGCTGCCGCCATGTGTCTGGATACGTGGCCAGCTCCACAGCTACCACAACCCATGCCACCTACTACAGATTCAATTAAAAAAACTGATTCATAATTTCTAGACTTTATCCCGTTAAAACCAAAGCTATTAAGACCAGACAGGTGGTCGAAGCACAGCAATGGTGTGGCCTAGTCAGACCGTTCGAACATGACTTATTCACTTGTTAAGAAATAAGAATCAAAAAATTGAAGAGAAGTAGCTATAATGATATAAATATCAAAGTAAATAAAATTAAAAGTAATAAAAATTATACCAGAACCTAACCAATTTAACATTTAGAGATGCATTTAAGCATTAAACAACCAAAGCATGTGTAAATCAATCAAATCTTAGATAAAATAGAAACCCAAAAATACTCAAAATCCATAATATGGAACAATTTTCATCTATCAACATTCTCGATGTTTCCATAAGTGTTAAAGACCCAAAAAATAAAACAAAAGTGTTGAAAAGGCCAAATCTATATATACAACAAAAAATCCACATAAGCTACCAAATAAGTAAACAAACTACACATTAAACTATAAAAGTAAAACCGGAATCTAATTAAATACACTCAATCCATTGCATTGATTTGGAAAAAAAAAAAAGAGGCAAAAACCCTAAAAAAAAAAGATCTAGTTTTGCTAAATATAAAACAAACAAATAAAATGAAAGGTGTGATGAATTTATTTGGGGCTTGAAATAGAGCAATTGATGGCTAGAGTCCACTCTTAAAGTTGTCAGATTTTTGCCAAGGATTTGAAGGTTTTCAGGTAGAGAGAGAAAAAAAATTGCCGAAGTAACTCTCTCTCTAAAAGAAACATTTTGAACCCCCAAATATTAAAAAGGGCCAAAACACTCCTAAACAAATTCAAACAAGAAAAATAAAAACATATAAAATATGAAAATTTGACCCTAAATGAAAAAGAGAGAAAGAGATCATTTTGGACCCATATCGGGACCAGGTCAAATAAGACTGGTTGAACCACCTGATCCAAGTATTTGACAGGCTGGTTCGCGGGTCTTACCAGTATGGGACCCTTGGACAGGCTGGTAGGACCACTGTTTTTCAATCTGAACTGGCAGGTAGAGTCTGGTCTTCATAGCCTTGCTTAAAACCATGAAAAAAATGACTCTTAAGGGGGTTTTGGGTGGGTATATACCGTTGCCGCCCTCCCCCCCACCCCCCTAATCAAAACAAAAAAGAGAGAGAGAGCACCCAATGCCCTCCAACTTTATTTTCTTTTGGTGTGGTGGGGGGGGGGGGGGGGTCTCAGCCCCCAAGCAGTCACCCGAATATGCGGTTGCATAATTCTAGATAATGCACCCTCATATGTGGTTAATGCACAAAATATGCAGGTGCATAAAGATACCGCGCATATGTGGGTATAAGTAGGGCGTCCAAGGGCCCATCCACTTTAAAGTGATAGCATAATGCGTTATGCGGAGGCATTTGATTAGGCAGATCAAGGTGTTAAGAGTGGTTGCCACCCGAAGCAGGTGTGGTGAAACTGAACTTCAAAGATAGTTCAAAGAGAATCTCTGGACCCACACAAAGAGGTGGCCTCCATAGGAATCACAATGGCCAAATACCATTAACCTATTCAGGTCAACATTGAAACCCAAGATTCTATTGTGGCTGAAGCTCAAGCCTTATTGGTTGGACATCAAAACTTTGCCACATCATTGGGGTTGGGGGTAACAACTTGATCATCGAAGACGACTTGGCATAAACAATTGCCTATTGAGAGGCACGGCCATGATACCTTGGAACTAGATCCAGTTTGCGAACAAGTTCACCATATGTGCTCGTGTTTAAGCGTGACTTTCAGCCACACTTGCATGGAAGTAAATTAAATTGCAGGTTCTTTAGCAAAAGCAGGGTTAGAAGAACCTTTCCATATCACTAAATGACCAACCATCTATCTATATTTGGATTGCAAACATTCACATTGTACACAGTTTCAGTGGTATAGAATTTTGTTACTCATGGATTGAAATTTTGAAACACATAGAGATTAAATCAATTAATTACTTACCAGTATAAGAGAAGGAAATTCTTTTGTTGATGAATAACTACCAAGAAATAAAGTTTGATAATTATCTTTTTAAAGAAAAGTTTCATACCTTTCAGATGCCCCAGGTTGTGCTACTATACTCCCAGTGGCAGTAGCACTTCTACTTGACACTCCATCAGTTCTGTAAAATTCAAACTATATATAAGCATTTTAATCAATAGCATCTAAAGTTCTATTAAAAAAATGTGGAATCTGCCCATCCAGATCTCCAAAGCTAGTTATGATCTACAAGAAATAGGGGTGGCAATGGACCTGGGACCCGAGGGGTAGACCCAATCCGGGTCTGGGTCCAGGTCAAAAAATTGGACCCGAAGGGTCAGATTTGGGTCCAAATCTTGCACCCCGAACACTATTCGAGTCTGGGTCCGGGTCCGGTAATATTTTTCGAGTCCCAGTATATGAAATATAAATATATTTAAATACATAGATATTTAAATACATAGATATTTTAATTTTTGGGTCGGGTCCAGTCAGGTTGGGGTCCCATGCTATATTTTTTGGTCCAGGTCTGGGTCCGGGTCCCATATCATTTTTTCAGGTCTGGGTTTGGCCGGACCCGGACCTGGATCCAACCCAACCCATTGCCACCCCTAACAAGAAAGAGACTTACGGTGCTTTTGGTAGTAGAGGAGGAGCAACTACTATAGCAGTTTCACTCCCTTCCTTTTGCAAATCCCCTGCCGGAGGTAGACCTACAAAAAATGATGGTGAATAACTAACCAAACAGAAACCATGCCCAAAGCTCAACTGGAAGGCATTGAGTTTTTGTGTATCAAACCCATGTACCCACCAATCAAAAAGAAATTTTTTTTATGAGAATACAACAATTTCAGGGCACAGCAAGAGTGCAAATGTGAAAAAACATGATGATATTGATGATCTCTTCTATACTCCCTTCTTTATAAGTAGAAGGAACCATCCACAAGGCACTATCTTGCAATAACCATCAAGAAGTCATGCATATATATGGGATTATATATTCCTTTGGAACATAAGCAAGAAGCAAATATGAAGAGCAAACAGATTAAGTTCATACTCCATAAAAATAAAAATAAAATACAAAAGAGGTCACAATCGAACATCATGAGCTCCATTTCTCAAAAATAACATACCACAACATATTAACTTGTTGCACCTATAGGCCTAAGCTTGTTTGCCTCTCAATAAATTACTTTACTTCCCCATCCTATGAGCTACACCACAAACTTGCATTAGAATCTGAGATTCCCAAAAATGCACAACATATTCATGGAAAATCAATATGCTTGGAAAACAAATTAAGCATGCAATCAAACCAGCCTTTATCACAAAAGAAAGTGAAATAAGTACTTGGGGTAAATATAAAGTGTCATCCTCAAGTCAAAAGTTTGAAGCTACAGAGAATCCACCCTCGCATTGAGGCCGTACAGTAGACGACAACCAACCCAAATTCTTCTATTTACATGATCCAATACCCAAGCCAACCAGATGCATATGAAATACTCCCCACCCATTAACAAAAAAAATCAAGTGCCAACATGGTGAAGAACACCATGCCACTAAAGGCCATGAAGCATGCACAATTCCTATATCACCCACATCACGATATGCTAAGCATGTTTACTACTACTTTAATGGCCAATTCATCAGCATGGAGCATGAAGTAAAACAGCCATTTTAGCCAGCATGGCTTGTGGGTTCCAAATGTTTGATGCCCATTATTTTTGGTTATTTGGGATATCAAACAAACAATTCCAACAGGTAACCCAGGGTCACAAAACAGCATGCAAGAAGGCATGTGAGTGCACATGCACAGGCAGGTTTTTGCATGTGCAATTGTGCAGGGACACACACACACAAGCATACACATGCACACACTTAAAGACATATGAAATTAAGCTTCACTTGGGGAGCCATTTCATGCAACAAGCCTCTCTAGAGTCATTCTATGGATGCTCGTTTAAAGTTCAGAATTCATACTCAATGCCAGTTAAATTTAAGACATTCACTTGCAAGTACCATGGACAACTTTTATCTTGAAAGCAAAACAAGAAGATAGAAGGAAAGATAAGGATTTAGGACATAATCCAACGTCATCCTTAGATACACAAATCAGAATGAAATAGTTTTGTAATAATAGTGACCAAGAAAATCTCTTTGAGCTATATGATAAGGTTTTTTAAATTAACTTGCATCACATTGAACCATACCTGGGACTGCAACTGCATTAGATGAAGTGGGAACCTGAGCACCTTGATCTTGTGATGCAGGATTCCCATGGTCTTGTGCTGGTGGAGTTGGTATGTTTTTTACGGCTCCATATTCAGCATTCATCTTTAAAAATATAAAAAGCAGAGGATCGATAAGTGGGGGATCGTAACCTACATGAATTTTAATTTAATAAAAGATTTTAACTAAGGAATGCAAATTTCTTATCTCACTCCAGATTCAACTGAGGTCTTTTACATTCCATTTTTAGGCAATGCTTTCAATTAAGGTCGTAAAAGGGGAAAAATTAAGCTTGAATTCAAGCTGAAACATGTTAACAATAAAAAACAAGTGCATGGAAGAAGAAGATATCTATCTTTCATCAATAAATCAAAGCCTATTTTTCCCCGCTTAAAAAAACAGAACTTATGTTAACAGAGCAGAGACTGACCAAACCCACCACAAGTCAATTTGATATAAATTTTGATAAGCAACTAATGAGTTAACTATAAGTTTATAGTAGCAATTACATGCAATTTTGTGAATAAACGGATACATACATATACAGACGCATAAATTTGAGAGCACACGTGCGGGTAACGAATATACTGTTTTTCCATTAAAATTGAAAATGGTTAGAGAAGGGATGAGTACCTTGTAGCTAATCCTGATGCGCTGACTGTAGAACCCGGCAGCATATCCATAATTAAAATACATGGAATCAGAAGAAGAGAAAAACAAGAATATTCAGATTTCTAGTAAAGTTTTCTGCAACGGTCAAACTAGAAAACTGAAGCATACGAGAAATATAGAAACTACTTCATCGTGATTAGGGATTAGAAAACTGGAATACAAAGAGCCATTCAGAACAGTAAAATTCCTAACCAAACAAATTTATCTGGCAGAGAAGATAAGCTTTAGGACGTAAGAATACCATTCCCAATGAGTGATAAACAAGTGGTCCAAGATGTCAGTCTACAGCATCAATTCAAAGAAGACCAAAACAATCCAAAAAATAGCAGAAAAAAAGAGGAAATTAAGTTCCAAGACTCGAGGGATTTAGGGTTAGGGTTTTCGCACCTCTCTGGATCAGGAGGAGCATGATCGATATGGCCTGGAGAGAAGACATCAAGGGCCCTCTTAAGGGATTTGAGACTGAGTTTCTTCAGAGACTGTGGCTCCACTCCCTCCATTGCTCCTGCTACTACTGCTGTTGTTGAACCCGGCATTATCTCCCTTCTCTCTCCTCTAATCACATGTGCGCTCTCTCTATCTCTCTCGGGCCTTTTGGAACTGGGTATCCAAACGATGACGGAAACCAAAGACGGCCTCTCTCTCTCTCTCTCTCTCTCTCTCTCTCGGAGATGAAAGGAGGGAAAAGATGACACTCGGTGGAAGCTTAAATACTCTCACTCACTCTGGGCGGGCACTTCGACACAATAGGAAAAAGGGCTTTCCACTTCTCTACTTTCTGCTTTAAAATATGGGAAAAGTTTACATGGACCCGAGCCTCTAAACAATCAAATTTGAGCCTACCTCAAAAATATCGGAGAAGTTTACATAGAAGAGCTTGTTTTGATGCCCAAATTTTTTTAAATTGATCATCTCAACAACAAGATACATAAACATGATAAAAAAAATGGATTTCAAATTCTAAAATAGTGTATTTTGTTACATAATTTTTTACCATCAATTTTCAAGATTTTTAAGTTTTTTTAGATAGGTCGATCTACACTATTTTTTAAACTTTAAACTTTATAAATAAATATGAAAATATATTTTAAGACTATCACAAATATTTTCAATAACCTGTCATGCGAGCTACAATCTGGATTCCTCCCATAACCTTTTCATGCCCGACGGGTGTTCCATAAAAGAGATAGCTTAATCCACCACACAGTAGATGTTGGGGTCCGGAGAGATCTGCCTATTCAATTCATGAGTACGCTGCCCACTTAATCAAACCAAGTTACGGTGTCCAAATTGGGCGTTTTCGTAGACCCTTGAACGCCATGGAGCAGTTAGCAACCTGCTAGTCACTTGAGCTAGTAGGAGCCTGCTTGTAGCTTAGCTAGTCTTAGGCCTAAGTCTGGTAGGAGCCCACTAGTAGCTTTAGCTAGTCTTGGGCGTAAGTTCAAAGGTCTACAACTATTCTAACTTAATGGAATTGTACGAAAATAAATTCTCAACTCCAATAGGGGCGGAATGGGTGGGCAGCTCGACCCAAAGCTCCTCCATCGAGATTTCCCCTTGCTCCTCAAGCGAGATTTGAATCTCGATCTTGAAACCACATTTCTCGATGCTATTTGGCAGTAGACTCTAATTTGATTGTTTAGAGCCTAGGCTCTATACAAACCGCATCCTAAAAATATACATATGGATACGAAAATATAATACTATAAAGGGTAGGTATACCTCAAAATAAAAAAGATTAATATTAGAAGTTGTTATGATGGATGTATTTATTAAAAAAATCATTTTTTTGTTTAAAAAATTATTTTTATAGTTAACTTAACTATTAAACAATAACAAAATTGAATTTTTTATAAAAATAAAATGATATTTTAAAAATTAGTATCATGAAACTTTATTTATGGAGTGCTCTTGTCTTCTATCGTAAATTTCAACTTTACCCCTTATAGAAATGGCAAAAATACTCATGGTCTTGTAGTAATATTTACAAAATTACTTTTATTTAATATAAAAATTATTTTTTTTTAAAAAAAGTAATAAAATTAAGAACTCCACCATTCACAACTCATTAAATTATTAACTTTTGTAATTTGAAGGATTGTGAACTTTAAATTATCCCTAATATAATATAGCTATGAAAATATAAATATATTAAGTTATAAAATAATATATTATGTAACATATTATCTTCAGAGTCTATTTTCATGGTTTTGGATTAGTTGTAAATTTGCTTGATCCGTACCACTTTTTGAGCTTTAAATTTTATAACAAAGGGTGTACGTAGGTTTTGCCAGCATAGTTTTGATTGTTCTAAGTTGACATCCTATGCAAATTGCACCCCTATTTAATTTACTTTTTAAAAATATATTTTGGTAAGGGTGTGGTTTGTATAAGTTTGAGCCCCAAACAATCAAATTACTACGTGCTTCTAAATAATGTCAAAATATGATTTTTCAATAGTGAGAATCTTTGTGATAACTTGAAAAATTATTTTCATATCTAATTAAGAAATTTAAAGATTCAAAAATAGTATCGATCAAGAAGATTAATAAACATTTCAAAATATTAAAAATTGATGGCTGAAATAATGCTTTACAAGATGCATTATTTTCTAACTTGAAATCCAATGTTTTTCACAGCTATACATCTCGAAGTCGAGATTATTGAGTTGAGGGTTTTTTAAAATCAAAACATCTTCTAGTGAATTTTTGATCTGCAACTTAATTTGGTTGTTTAGAGCCTCATCTGGTATGAACTCTTTCCCTATAGTAATGCCTAAAATAAAAATGCATGAGTTCCCCAAACAATTATTGGTGTTTCATAAGACACATCCCAAACATCATCCTCGACAATCAGGGGCACTCATATCATTTCACTACAATACCCCTAGGTTTTTGGGGTTTATATGGTTATCTTTTAATATAGAGCAATGATCCAACGCAACGATTGTATCATAGTATAATGCAACGACTGTATCATAGGATAATGCAACGACACTTTTAGAAAATCATGTTTATGGTATTTGTATCATCTCAATAATCAATCCTCTAAAAAAAAATAAAAAATCAATTTGAGCCCTAGATATTGTCAAAATGAGTCTCCTCCAAAAACGAATTGAGACTATTTATTTTGTGAATTTCAAGATCTTAGTCTTTATAAACTCAAAATCATTTTTTAATTTTTTAACATTATTTATCTAATGATAATAATTCCGTCCAACAAAATTGGAAATGAAAAAATCCTTTTAAGGTCTAGATCTAAGCATCTCACCAAACTGAACGCCTTGAGTTAATTAGGCAAAAAAATACTTTATAGGTTGTGTTTTCAATTTTTTATTTTTTGTGATTATTTATTAGAATAAAAATAGTGTATATTTCAAATTTTAGATCAAACAAATGGCCATAAGATGGTTTTTATAAGATTGTTGCATCATATTACTATACAATAGTTGCATGAAATCATTGCCCTTTAATATATTTTATAAACAGGTATACCCCTTTAAGTACCATGCGGTTTGTATAATGCCTAGGCTCTAAACGATAAAATTATAACTTAAACAATCAAGTAAGGGTACGGTTTGTATAGAACCGAGGCTCTAAACAATCAAAGTAAAGCACACCTTCAAATAGTATCGAGAACTGTGGTTTCAATACTCGAAATTTATGTGATACCTTTAACATATATTTTCATATCTAATTATACAATTTTCATATCTACACTATATTTTCATATCTAATGTAGATCGAGCAGATCTATGAAAACTTTAAAATCTTGAAATTTGACGGTCAAAAAATACATAACAAGATGCACTATTTTCAAAACTTAAAATCCATTATTTTCTCATGTCCGTCCATCTTGAGGTCGAGATGATAAATTTAAAGATATTTGGGCTTCAAATCAACCTCTTCTAGTAAAAATTTTGAGGGGCGCCCTAATTTGATTGTTTAGAGCCTCGTAAAAAACAATACATAACAAACAGATCTAAAAATATTGGAAAATCTTGAAAATCGATGGTCCAGATATTTTGTTACAAAACTCTATTTGTAGGTCTTAAATTATTTTCTTTTTTCTTTATATCCATACATATTGAGGCCTGTATGATCAAATTGGAAGACTTTCTGACAACAAAACATTATCTTCTAGAATATTTTTGAGGTGTATTGTACTTCAGCAATACTAGGTTGACACCTTTTATAAACCTTTTCCTTACTATGGCTATATAATATTAATGAAATATTATCATGAAACTAGGTAAATACTTGAATATTCATATGATATGATACTAATGCATTACGATAACTAGTTCAATTATGTTCATTGCACGTAACAATAAAATTAACAATCACAACTTTCTCATATATATATAAACTAATGTATTGTATATATATATATATATATGAAAAAGTTTATATAAGGATGCAACCTTATAATGTAGAACTATGGATGCACCTCAAAAATCCACCGGAAAAGGTAGTTTTAATGTTCATTGATCATCTTGACATCGAGGTGCATGACCATGAAAAATAAAAAGATTTTAAGTCTAAAAAATAGTGCATTTTACAACATATTATCTACACCGTCCATTTTCAAGATTTTTATATGTTTATAGATCTACTTGATTTTAACCACTTTTGAAATTTAAAATTTTATAATTCGATATAAAAATAGATTTTGAGATAATCCTAATGACATTTTACATCAAAATTATATACCATGATAAAATTTGAAGGTTTACCTTGCCTCTATAGCTACGGATGCATCCGTATGCCAACTGCACCAATATATATATAT